TTAGAAGTCCAGATCTGCTGCTCTAGTGGAATAAAATGTAAGTTTCCTTGAACCAAAATTTAAAAAAGCCTTGTAAGACTCACCACACAGGAAAAACTCAATTCTCTTATCCACAGCTCTGACAACAGGCAGGAAACTGTACAATCTTATTTGCTACTTTGCTAAGAGCCTCAGGGTTTCCAGAGGGCAGAATTTCCACAGTTGGGCCCCGTGTCTGGCTCACACTCTGTAAGAAACACACAATTCCACAGGGTGTCACCCACTCATTGTTCCCCTTGCAGAACCTTCTTGTCCCCTCATTGCACACAGCGCCCAAAGGTAAAGGCCAGGCAAGTGGATAGAACATTGCTAACTTTGAGATGCTGTAACCAAACCAGCAGCCACAGCACCAGCCCTATGTGCTTAATAAAACTTTAATAAGGAAACTGAAGCCAAGCCACAGAACGAGATCTGGAATCCCAACCTGTGCACTCAGTGGCGAGCAAGTGGCGGGTGGGTACGAGCCATGGTTGAGCAGGGACACTTCAGGTCTAAATGAGATCTGCCGGGGGTGGGGACAGTTGCCATTCCCCCCTTCGCATCGTCTTGGTGCCACTCAGAAATTACCTTGAAATGGTCTCCTGACACTGGCCTGACCAGCCCTGCCTGTTGGAGCACACACACGAACGTCGGTCTTTCCTACTTTTCGGTTCACCAGCCACTGAGGGCTTCACTTCTTGGTAGAACCGTAATCACCACGCTCCCTGTCGGAGTCACCCAGAGTCAGCCTGCCACCAGCCTCTGTTCTTGCTGGGGAGTTAGGTGACTCGGGGTGAACCGGCCACCCCAGCTTTCCATGATAAAGAATCTCTCCTGTCCCAGTCTGGATTGTCTTTAAAGAAAAGGGGGACTGGTGAGGGCCACTACCAAGTAGGTATGACGCATCGTAATCCTTGCCAGTGTACCCCATGTTAAATGGACTTGCCTTGGAAATTTGCTGCGACCTTGCTTGTGTGTTTGAGAAAGGTGACCCTGCTCAATCACCAGGGTGGATCCAGGATTAGGGTGTATTCCTGCAGGAAGTATCTCCGTCCTTGGGTTTAGGG